CCTACACAGGTGCATGTACACTCCTCATATGGCCCGATAGAATGAAATGTTCAAGTTGGTATAACTAGTTATGTGTAGACTGTAGTATGTATATCACATAACTAGGAGATATGTAGGTAGGTAGGTAGGTAGGTAGGTTAGGTATGTGTGTCTCACTTGCTGGACATAAGGAGAAACAGATCCCGATATCACACCCAAGACATCCAAGACGTCCTCATTCGCCCTATTTTTCTCGGTATCAGATCATTCTAGGGGAACTATTGTTCTCTCTCAACTCGTGAGGTTGTAGCCAACCGCTTTTTAACAAAAATCGCGAAATACCTAGGCAGGGCAACCAACAACATGGCCTTACCGTTTGTTAGTCAACCTTAGCAGCTTGACGCTGGTCAAGGGTTGTTCTTCAGGGTGGTCCTGGATCCTAGTCCCGGACTAGGGGTAACAGGAAACCATTGGAGCCGGGATGACAAGATGACAAGGGCTAGCACACGTATCCCCAGAGTCCTGATCATCGACCCATCGTATCGGCGCCTTAATCTTCTCCCCCTCTTTGACGCTTTGGCACTACATTCACAATACCTTCTGCTTGGGAATCCGGACTTAAAATTTAGTATATGCATCGTAGTATAATCCAGCATTGGTCTTGCAAGCTGACATGGTGTTTCACTACTTGGCCGTAAAAATTCCGAGTGGTCGAGACGATCGAGGAAAGACACTACTAAACTACTCACCGACGAATCTATATCCGTACAACCTTAGACACGTTTCTTTGTTCGTCGCTTGCTAGCTTGTCAGAGCTGGGGTACTACAATCCCGTGACGTGACATTTCAGAATAAACGGCGATGGCAAGAATAATAATAGTAGCAGCAGTACGACGACAATACGTACGGGCCCAAGTTTCAGAAGTACATGACTATCGTAATCACTTTGCAAACTCTTCGTCGACGGCCGTCGAGGCTGCTTAGGCCCGAATTTTTTTTTTTCAATCTATTTGAGATACCGAGGTGACAAATTCGAACTTGGATGGTAAGGTGCTATAAAGAATTGACCATACATAGAGCACACGAGAAGACTACCCCTATGTCATGTATGCAATCATATTGTATTCGTGGAGAGCACACCGCTTCCAAAGCTCGGTAATCAACATATGTACATACTACTGCTGCTGCTAGAAGCTAGAATACAATTATGTAGTTATTCTAAGGCAAACCTCTTTGCCTACAATATCGGGGAGATGGTCTCGACACAACTACCTAACCTAGGATACGCTGCCCCAGAATAGCTACCTACACTGCTCCGATAGAATGCTTACTCCCAACCCCCTCCCCCCTCCCCCCATGCGCTTATCCTTGCCTCACATCGGCTTAAGTGTCAATAAGACCTCGCATGTCTAGGTACCTAACCTACATTCATCCACATTATCCTAATCCTTCCCCCCGCGCTGTGTTACTCTATAAGCGCGCGCGCCTTTCCTGACGCTATCTGGCTACTGAGACTTGCAATCCCCATTCTCGGCTGATTATCTACTTTTAAATCTAGGACCGGCCGGCGGTGGTTGATCTTATCCTATATCTGAAATCTAGCGCTGTCTGCGTGGCGTTGTCTCAGCTATTCGATTGTCGCGGAGACAGTGAAGACCACTTCGTGCTTACGTCTCCCGACGCCCATCTGCCTTTAATGAGTGCCAGCCTTCGGCACGAAGAATATTTAAAATAGTGATAATATGAAATGGGGATAGGTAAACGTCGAGTCGTGTGACAGTTCCAAATCAACTACATACATATAGTACCAGGCTAGACAAGCACCAGGGATTAAGAGGGTGGAAGAGAAGATTAACACGGGAAGTGGGGGACTCGTTCATGACGGATCGAGGGACATGGACATCATACATGAAAACAATCATCCGAATCTTCGGATGGCTTAATTAATAGCTTTGGCTTTACGCGGACGATTCTTTACAAAGCCATGTTATCCAAAAGTGAGAGGCTACCCTACCATTACATGCTTGAGTAGGTAGGTAGGTACCTATGTAAGTCGCCAAAAACAGTATCAGACATCCAAGCCTGTAGCTAAGAATACGCCTAGAAGCAAGGTACACGAAACATCCAGCCAAAGTAGTATTTGTGGCATTTGATTGCCGTTTCTGCAATAGTCAACTGGCGCCTCTGGTAGACAAACCTACATATAGGTAAGGTACTTGCATACGTAGGACTTGATTATTTTTTTTTTCCAGGGGAGTAGGGACATGACGGTAGTATGCGAACATATCTATGCAGGTAGACCTTTAAGGGCAGGTACCTTATCTGTACGGCGAAATCTACGTCCTACGGAACATAGGTACGTAATCTCGCTATACTGGTATAGGGATCGTCGTAGTCACGGCATGGAGAGTAAATCACAAGGAGGAACAATTAATTTAATTTCGATATGGAGCCTGCAGACTGAAATTTTTTTTTTTCTTTGAGGAGTATGTTAACCATACGAATCGGTAGTGTAGATGGTCGCCATCCAGGGCCGTCGGCCGTGTAAGTGTGTGTGGCCAGCCAGCTCGGTACAGTTCCGCCTTCGCTTATCAGCCTTAAAAGAAAGACAGGCGTGTTTGTGCCTTGGCTACCTCTGTAGTACACCGTCATTTCCTAATGTCCTTCTGGAACGTTTCCAGAAGATTATTTGATCCTGCAGGGATAGATTAGACCAATTGTCGATCTCCTCCGCCACTCTCCCATATGTCAGGGTTACCCTAGTATCTTAATACATAATGATCACTCATCGACTCTTGTCACCATTCGCAGCTCTTGCTCATGATTTGGGAACTTGACCTTGAAGGCCGGTGGTATGGTCTCCCCAAGTGCCAGAAGAACACGACGGATTCCACTCCAGAATAGAAGCGGTATGGTTGGTTTAGAAAACCCCCCGAAATTCCACAATATAATATATTGAATGTTCTGATTAAACTTGTCCTTTTTAAGAGTAATCCATCCTGTCCTTCTGGCACTTGAAGACATGCTTGAAGAGATACATAGTATGTGGGTGGTAGGTATGGTATTCTTTGCAACGTGAATAAATTTAGGGCGGACAATCCACGCTCTCCTTCGAACCCCTTTTTTCTACTTGTTGCACTTCTTCTAGTTATCCTTCAAGTATACAACCCCCCCCTCCCCCACACACGCACACGCGCATACACACACACACCACACACATACATACGCTACGCCTAAAGCTTCTTGGCTTCAAGGAACCGTCCTACACTACCAGCCATCAAGGCGTCCATCGTAACAGCGGCTAGATTACCCCCTGCGTAGACTCTTGTAAACATCCCCACACACCTGCTTGGCATTACATAGGTATGTATATGCAAACGAGTGCGTACATGGATGGTTAAGACGCACCTTAAGACGTGCAGCTGATCAATTCCGAGAATCCACAGTCCTGCAGAAGAGGGTCTGGTCTGCAAGGCCCATCTTATGTATGTATGTACGTAGGTATGTATCAAGACACTCTGATCGAAAAATTAATTGCGCATCGCATCTGCGATGCACCTAAACTTGTCCAAGCATAGGTAACCTCTCGCGGGCTTCTTAAGGTCGATCAAATCCTACCACATAAAGCATCGCTGTGTCCGAACCATCCTTACCTAAAGTAAGATTCTCTACCGACGCTATCCTCCCCTGGCTCTCCAGCTTCCCAGCTTCCCGATTAGACCATCGGGCTCCACGAGGGGCATGCCGAATAGGACAAGATATATTAAGTAGCCAGCAGCAAGGTAAGGTAAACAAGCCATAGACGGGTGCACCTTATCCGCGAACGTAATGTAATGTATCCGTGCGAAGTAATGTATGTAATGAGACATGGGACAATGCATGCCCTTCCAAAAGGGGCATCCTTCTCGAAAGCTTCCTTCAGCTGGGGCTGGACGCTCCGGCAGACACCAAGACACCAAAACAGAAACGCCAGGCGACGCCGCGATCCCATGCAACCCTTCCTCGACAGGGTCAGGCCCAAATCGAGAACACTAGCCCAGGTATGATGCAACGCCAAGTTAGAAAGGTGACAAATATACACCGTTCATCACACCCGTGTATGTAAGTAAACAATCTAAGTAAAACGGAAAGGTGGCTGTTGCTCACCCGCCGGATTACCTACATGTATTGTACATACCAAAGACTTTTATTCTACTTACACTATACTTAGGTGACTATCCATGTTATAGCAGCTACCCATCTATCTGGGCGGTATGTATGCCTACCTATAATATGCATGTCTTAGAATTAGCATCGTAACGGCGACTACTTGACCAACACCAGCTACGTAGCCACCACCATCATTACCTACATACTACCACGACCACCATCCAATATATCCATGCCCATACCATATCACCTTGTCTCGTAATTATTGTCACTCACCGCTACAAAAAAAAAAAAAAACCAAGACAAGCCATGAGGCTCTGCGCGGACCAGTAGCATATCGTATATCGCGGCAAAGACCACACCCACATCCATCGATCTCTGGGTTTTGGGGGTGTGTCATGCAACCCAATTTGCTTTTTCTCGCACTTGTGCGGCGCGCGTCGCAGAGAAGAAGAAAAAGAAAGAAAAACTCGCGGCCTACGCCTAAAAACCCGAGCCTTCTAACCTAGCTATCCGCTTTGGGGCAGACGAGCCTCGCACCAATCCTGTTTTCTCGCCCCCTTCCCTTTTCCAAGTAATCGTTACGCGCATACATACACCTACACATACATACCACCTACACATACATGGGCTACGCAATATACATACATACGTACCTACGTCTATCCCCAAGGCCGAGCCACGTCAGAAACGGCAGGCTTCTCGAAGTCATCGGGCCTTGTTTCCATGCATAAGGGTACATTGTCCATACATCTCAAACACGCAACGGACTTATCTTATTGGTCCCGTCCCATCCTGCGTACTTACGCATGCTAGGTAATCAACGCCGGGTCTACCAATCGATGCCACTCTATTTCCGTTTTCCGTAGGTTTGCTTTTATTTATTCATTTATATACCGCCATCCTGCGCCGCTAGAACGCATATCGCAATCCACCAGCATTTTTCAGATGACCGGAAGCCAGCTGCATTGACCTCGAGGCTGACTTGGCTCTCCCTGTCCTTTCCTTGCTCTCTCGGTCAACTAGACTATTGCGCACCCAAGTCTCGGCTAGCTCGTGTTCTTCCTCTACCACGGTGGCTGCAGGAAGCACACGAGGTTGTTAGTTCGCTGCCGCGCTCTACGAAACTCCTTCGGGTGGTAGCCCACCAGGCGCGATTGTCTTCGCGTCAACCAGGCCTGCCGGCGGCGCCACTCCCCCAGTGCTCGCCCTTCGCCTTAGACCCCCGGCTTTCAAGCTACGCGCACGCTGGTATGCACTCTCAATTTCGTACTCGACCGCACATCTGATGGTTAGTGCACACACGGCCGGCCACACGCTCCGCTCGCCGCGTAGAATCCAGTAGTCTAGGGTCTCGCGTGTTGGGGTCTCGAGCAGGCGCACGAAGTCGCGTGTCGTTACTTTAGGCACGAGCGTCATACTCGATCCAGACGGGACCTCCTCGTCTACCAAGAACTTGCGAATGCCGGTCGGCAGCAGACCAAGTGTGTCTAGCTGGTGTAGCCGATGGCGAATCTCTAGTCCGACCACCCTGAACAGGTGGCTCGTCATCTGTGCCCGCTTATGCCGCGCCGTGAAGAGTGATGGGCCATGCATGTCCGATTTGAGGAAGGGAATCAAATAAGGCCGAGCTTGACTAACTATGAAGTGATTGACGTTGAAGAGCTGGGCAACACGCGACAGTGGCGATTTGCGGTCTTGGGCTGATGCATGTGTCTGCGGACGGAAGGTATTCGCAGGCGCCCAGGGTACAATCTTACCGTCTACATCTTTGCACAGCACCGTCGTCCGCCTGCTTCCGTAAAGTGACGGAGTTGACGCATTAGATGCGACAGCCGCGGTCCGAATTAGCTTAAATGCCTCGTCAGCATACACATCCAATTTTTCTCTCAAGCCACGCCAAGGGCTTATAGGTTGGGGCCAAGGTTTCAGAGACATACCACGTTAGGGGCGGTAATATAGTTCAGTAATGCGGGAATTCCCTCTTGTTCCTCTGTAGCCACGGTGATATTTAAGACGCGCTTACTCCTGTGATATGCTTCCTCAAACGTCAAGTCGCCAAGGTTGTCCTTAACGCAATCTTCTAGAACCTTGACATCGAGAAAGTAGCCTTCGTGCCAGAACCTCGCGATCCTACGCAACAAAGTACTGAGAAAGGGTGCCCAATTGCATTTGTCACTATGTACTTGTTGCTCGTGTGCCTCGAAGGCTGATAGATTAATGCCGTCTCCTCTCAACACACGAGGAAGCTCGTCCTCTGTATGGATAGCTACTAGGCTAGCAATGAGCGCACCGGTCGCCGTGCCCGTAATGATACGCGGCAGTAGACCCCGTAGAAACAAGGCCTTGACAACACCCAGATGACACAATCCGAACATAGCACCACCCTGTAGTACTAGAGTGCTCCGTCCAAAAGCCTGTCTCGAATCGTGTAGGAAGTCGAGCTTTCGCTGGGTCGAGAGGGTGTACGTATGAGTATAGCTGTCGTGCGGCGGCGTAGCGACACGACGATTGATGTCGTCGATGGCACCAGCGACTTGCGCAATGTATTCTTCAATCAGATATTTGGTTCCGGCAAAGGCGCGATTATACAACCTTGGGGCTGTGATATTTCCGAGGTTTCGAACCAGGCCGGATTGTACGAGATCGAGGAGAGACTGTAAGTCATTATTATCACGAGCCTCGGCGATAGTATCGAGACGATTGTTGATGAGCATCCAATCGTAGTAATGCGACGAGGGGTTGTTGCGCCTACAAGGGGACGTCCTCCTTGTTAGTTATCCCTCGGATATACTTCAGATTGCTATATCATACCAAAGATTCAATTCCTTAAGATTATCCAACTGCAATGCTGCATGTTCCCAATCTTCGTATGTCACGGCATTGCGCAGAGCATTGAGCCGTTCGTCTATCGGGCTTTTCGATGTCCATCTTCCCCAGAGTTTCTAGCAAAAGAGGAACTATGTAAGCTTAAGTGCAATTCACCTCTTATTATCACGGCTAGATACTCACTCTATACCAAAATAAAAAGACCTCCAGCAATAGAGAAAGCACAGCTACGGACACCCCGAAAATTAACTGCATTCTCTCATACCATTCGCGTCGGCCGGAATCATCTGTAGGGGAAAATAGACGGCGTCAGCAAGAGCAAGGGCGAGGGCGAGGGCGAGGGCGCGAGCGCGTAGGTCAAGTCCGTAGAAGCTGAGAGACTAGAGGAAGACGGCACCCGCCATTACACGTCGCGACGAAGCGACACCGCGAGAGTAATTTTGGGAAATAGACGAGAGTGACCAACATTTGACATTTGTAGTTGGAAAGAATGCTGCGTACTTAATTTCACTTCCAAGGTTTTACAATGTATCAGCATATAGAAGGTACATGTACCTAAGGTGGTACACGAGGTACCTAATGTACAACGCGCCGGGCCGAGCCGGAGGTCTAAATCGGGGAGCCGGTGTTTATAAACTTGCATGTGAAAGAGAGCTCCGAGCTCCCGCTATATACTCTTAGGTACAACTGGTGTCACCTGTTAAACTTTTGGAAATGGCTTCCTTCTTAGGTACCTAGGTACCTAACTTGACAAGAAACAACTAAAAGTTAATGTTAACAATTTAGAAATTTAACCATCTTATAATATTCTGCAATCAATGAACACAAGGCATCAGTATCCAATAATACTTTTCCAGCCTCTCAATAAAGCCTCTTTTGGTTTTACTCCCGAATTATAGGCCAACAGGGTATAAGTCACCCTTAATGTACCTAACAAAAGGTAAGAAGGAAAGCATTAGTAAAACGTTATCTCATTATTTCTAATACTGCTTTTGCATTCTAACGTCTAAAAGCGTCCACTGCTATAGTCGACCTATGCCTTCTTACTGGTAATTCTTAGGCTAAAGGTGTAATCTATAAGCATAATCTAAGATTCCCTAGGGAAACAATGGAATATAAGAGTGGAATAGTCTTATAACGATGATATAGTCAGTTTTTTTCCATGATGACATGTTTTAGGTAGGAAACCAAGCATGGTCCACTACATTTTCCTACACTGAAAGTCTACTGATTAGTCTAAAACCGCGGCGTAGATGTGGCAAGATAAATTAGTAGTTTCCGAGTTCTTCTTGTATCACCGTAGACGAGACAACATCGGATGCTACTGGGGTTGACCTATATTTACCTTTGACCCTACGTGGTGAAATTGACTTCCTATAATGACTGTCTTTGATAGGTTAGTCTGACAGGTGTCCTACACTATGCAAGCTACGAATACACTCAATATCATAACCAATAACTAGCCCGGTTTGATATCATAACTGTAAGTTTCAGTTTAGATATGTCAACGGCTATAAACGAATGGTGGCGGTAACTGGACTAGTCGCTACGTGATACCTACAGGTTTGTCTAACTTTGACCATGCCGAAGCAGTAGCATATAGCAATTAAACTAGATCGTAATATCTTCAACATGTCGACTAGGTTACGACGGCATGCGGATAGTGACCGATGGATCCCTTGTATCGTTTGCCGCCGAGTTTTCAGCTATGCTGAAGTAATGTACTTCTATTCTCCTCATAAAAAGCTGTAGTGAATCTGCTACGCGTTCGAGATGCATATTTTCCTCTTTAGGACATTCTACGGACTATAATTTCCTCAAATTATAACTAGAAATTATCACTAGGACGCTCCTACAACTCAGGACAACCGCCGCTTCACGAAGTCTCTACAACTCCTTGTCGGGCTTGTCTACCTAGCATATTTTTATGCTCGGAAGGAGAACCATGTCCCATTAATATTATGGTTACTGTTTGCAGGGCTTGCCTCTCTTAGTTGGGTTTATCGGGCTATAGTTTTGGCTCGTTTATAAAAGTCGAATCATGAGATTGGTTCTGTAAAGTTTTCTACGGCCATCACCGTATTTGAGATGCTAGGTGAACCCAACGTAGAGAATATACGACTATATATGATATATTTACTATATTGAAAGGAGTGGGCGGGATAGGAGATTTTAACACCAGGGTATGAATGACAAGGTATAACGTACATAGTAGGTAGGTAGTGTAATATATACGGCAGTGTAATCCTGCTGCGACTACCATACCGTATGCTGTCTAGCTATCTTAACCCACGAAGCATTGTGATATTGTATTAGGCTATTCTATGACCTTAATTAAAATTTTCAGCTATCGAGTTCTTCTGCACGTGCTAAAATCGCAGCTGTCGCGTGCAAGAAAGGACTATAGGTGTATAAGAACGCCGAGTATCATACAAACGTAGGGACTTATCATGTCCAACGCATTGATCCCTCAAACCTAAATCTATTCGTCATCTTCGTCCTCGGCAATGATATGGCGTCTTCGCCGGTGGGAAGACTCGGCCGGCGCATCCACGTCGTCTAGGTCAGCATCCGCGTCGGCATCAGCATCTTCAGCATCAGCCGTCCTCTGGCGCTTTTTTCGGGGAGCCTCTTCCTCGTCCCCATCATCTAAAAGATCTTCTTCGTCTTCGTCATCCTCGTTTGCCTCTTCCTCGTCATCACTAGGGGCGATGAAGTCATCCTCGCGATCATACTCGTTCTGACGACCCCCACCTGACGGGAAATCATCATCAGAATCATATTCTGGCCGGCGTCGCTTGCCCTTTCCTGAGCCGGGCGCACCTCTCTTTCGAGAGCCACCAGTTCTGCGGCCACCCTCTAGGTCGCCAATCGAAAGTCCTCCGCTCCTGTAGCCTCCAGTTCGTCCATCAAGTCGCGCAGCTGCATTATCCCGTCGTCGCTGTGCTTTCATGCGCTCTTTCTCGGCCAGTTCTGCTTCTTTCTTCTGAAGCTCGGGATCTTTCGTAGTTGTGATAATCATATCACCACCTTGTCTTCTGGCGCGTTGGGCGGCTTCCATGTCGCGGCTGAACTTGAGTAGAGCCTCGTCCTTCAGGTTCGAGGGAAGCTTCACGGAGTATTGTTCGGAAACGTGGCCCACAGTCATGAACAGCTCGCTCGTAAAATGTGCTGCTGCGACGTAGTAGTGGGCGTCGTCGCGCTCTTCGTAATATGACTTGTCAGCCGCGGGCGCCATTGCCTTCTTCTGTATCTCGTAGTGGTCTGCCCCAACAGACATGGTGAGGGATCCATCGCTCCAACGGTATACAATAGCGTTGCTCTTAAGCTCGCCGGTCTCGGGGTCCCGTTGGAAGCGGACGGCATTCTTGCGCTGTTCGGAACGCGCATTCTGTATGTCCCATTCGGTCGGCTCGAACGCGTCGGGCTTGTATTCTTCCGCTTGTAGCTTGATGAAGGAGGGAACTTTCATCGTTTGTAGCTAGAATTGGTTAGGGTTGCTCTACAATTGCAATCAAGATGAAGTAGACATACAGAACCAGTACCATCCTTAGGGGTTCGTGGAATCCTGTGTCGATGAAGTGTAACACCCATGATGCGTTTTACCTTGACCTCTTGATCCTCGTCCGCATCGTCACCTCGGTCGCGGCTACGGTCATGGTCGCGGTCGTCATCGCGTTCATCACCTTCATCTTGTTCCGAAGCAAGATCTTGATCACTAAGCACTTGATCTATAAACGGAACTTCGCCCTCGTCGCCGAAGAGGTCACCCCCATCCTCGGAATCGGACATGATGAGGGATGGTGTACTTGGCGGTAGTATGGGTTTATCTGAAGGGTGTGAGAAGGGTGTGAGGAGGTTCTTCGGATGTGGAATAATGTAATTGGAAGACTTGAGAGAATCACGCCGAGGTATGAAGGGTGTTGACAGAGTCGCGATTTGATAATAAGGTGGAAGAAATTGAAGTACCTAAAGTGAAGTACCTAAAAGTAAGGTAGACTTTTAATGTTAGGTAGGTTCAATGCTCACCCGCACTGTAAAGACAGGTACCTACCTACATACAATACTTGGTACATATGTAACTGCCAAATGGTACTTCAAGTCCGTGCTTTACCTTTCAGAGTCGATAAGAGATTTTGATATCGATAAAGATGATGCAGCTAAAAGAGACTAGCGTTGGGCGCTATGTATGTAGACGAGCGCCTCCTGAAACAGCTCGAGACGTTAAAATATCATTGGGTGAAATAGATGTGGGAAACTTCCACACATCGCAAAGTCACTGTCACATCCCTTCCGCCCCTTTTCCTCGCGAAGCCTCGTCGATTCTTTTATTGTATCCTCGGTCGGCGATTCCCTTTTTTTCTAACTGAACTATAATCTCCCGCTGCCGTTCACTTTTATTTTTATTTTTAAATCTTCTCGTGTGCCACCCGCAGGCTTCGTTGCCTCTATCATACTTGCGCTATACCGGTACCCGACGTGGCGGTTATCAAGTGATCATGTCTAATCTATTTTCTGGGATGTAAGTGTATAATTTTTATTTTTATTTTTCCATCGTTTCCTTGTCTTATTTTATTTCTTTTATTTCTTTAAATACCCTACCCCCCCTTTAAGGACCATACTATCTCCAAACTCACGTATGGCGACTTATGAGCTACAAAACAAGAAGGCCACGTGCAGAGGACCAGCCATTTTGATTTTAGGGACGTTTCCTAGGGTGTTATTCATTTATTATTATGAATGTACCCTGGCCAAAAGAAATTGGCTGTCTCTTATCACAACATGAAATGTACATATTCAGCTCGGCTTGTACAGCCTCGCATACGTCACTTGGACAGGACATAAGCTGTTTATGATGGTCTTCCTCAATGCTGCACGTCGACTCCCCAGAAACCAACCTATCACCCATGCAAATCTTAACATCTTGTAAGACAAGAGTCGGTATGATACATACATACCTACCTAACCTACATACTACCTACATACCTCTCAACAACGGGGGGCTGGTTCATAACGTGAAGCCATGGTTCTGGGAATCTGGGAATCTGGGAATATTGAGAGCATCCAACACAGTGCAAGTTGGGTACAAGCATCATAACTTTTTATTCATAAAAAAAACCCACACAAAGTTGTTTTGTGAGACGGACTTTTAAAGCTCGTACGAGCCAAAAAGCTATCTTGGGTAATTTAGCCCCTGCTCCATCCAAAAAAAGAATCTTGACCTATGTCTTCACCTATTCCCTTCCCCCCTCCCCCCCCCAGCCCTTAGATGGGGAAAGACTAAGGCGCCAGCAAAGCATCCTGGAATGTTGGTTCCCAATACAAACCGATTTCAGAATGGAGCAAGTACATAGCAGCCTGGACTCTTACTATGGGTCTATTATATGCAAGTGCTATTCTCCTACTACCCTTTATTATCCTTACGGTCCTTACTTATCCTTACATCCTTACTACTACCGTTGTCTCGGTTTCATATTTGCTTGTCGGCTTAATATTGGGTTCTTAGGTTGGATAAGTGACTGAGAATCATGAAGTCAAAGCTGGCCTTCCCCTACCTAACCCACCAAAATTTATATATATAAGGCCGGGGCGCCTCACGCTGCTCATTGCTCATTGGTTCTTCCCCACTGTCTCTTGTCAGCTCCATATAGGGCACCGGACGCACAACTAAGGAATAGTTGATAGTTGCTAACTTCCCACCTTCAGAAACGCTCGATTGAGAGGGACTTCGGGCAAAGCCCAAGGTCAGAATAAGAGCCCCGTTCAACCCAGCAGCGGTCAACCCATCTCTCCCACCAGTCTCTCCCAAGGCAGCCAGTCACCCATTAGCTTAGCACCAAAGATCCCTCCACTTCCTAGCTCACCATCCTTAGCTCAGAATATCGGCATGGAAGATTCCAGCAACGCAGGAGCCAACGGCGACGACGTTCTCGGTGTTTATCACCTGCCTCGACCTCTGCCCCTATGGCTCAACGCACAATACGCGAAGCATATCGTGAAGGGTAACTTCATGACCTTGAGTGCCCGCCCGAAGACCGTGGAACAGGGGGAGTGGATCGCTCATCAAGGTAAATAGCTTTGGTGTTATGTGTTATGTCCTTCATGAACTTGGCTGGAAGGTTTCTAACGTATTGCAGTGGTCGAGCACTACCGCAACCTTTGGAACTTCGTACGAGTAATTCATGAAAAAGAAGAAGACGGCAATACGATCTGCAATCCCCAAACTTGCCCTCGGATGTCCGCTGGCGCGTGAGTGGAACGTCCATGAAAGTGATTAACGGTTTGACGTATCTAACTCGGGATATAGGAACCATTCTTTCACATGGCTGAACTACAAGCGGGAGCCCGTCGAGTTGCCGGCCTACGAGTATATCACGCTTATGCAGCGGTGGATATCTGGAAAGATCGACGACACGAATATTTTCCCTACTGATACCAACGGCGTTTCTTACGCGCATAATCCATCCATCACCACGACGCCGCTCTCGCAACTATCCAACCCCGAAGACAAAGATTGGCTTGGAAAGCCCAGTGGGTTCCCCGAGAACTTCTTGGAAGTCTGCCAGACTATCTTTAGACAGATGTTCCGGGTATATGCTCATCTGTATTGGGCGCACTTCATCGACCCGTTCTACCATTTGAACCTCGAAAAGCAGTTGAATAGCTGTTTCAGCCACTTCGTGCTGACGGCCTGCGCGCTGGACATGCTAAAGCCTCAAGAGTTAGAGCCCATGCAGCCGTTGATCGACCTATGGGCGGCCAACGGTACCTTCCCACCCGGCTCCAAGGCATACGAGTATTCCAACCAGAAGGCCGGAGAGCGATTGATGCAGCTTGCGAATGTCGCATAGAGTGCGCCTCGCCATATTGCACGACGACGGTAGCCTTTGAAGGCTGATATGCCCGAGGCAGTGGTCCTGGATTGAGTAGCGGCCGGATCTTCTATACAACTAGCCTTAGACGGCGAGCAGTACGGAAGGAGAAGGGGAAAGAAGACCCATAATGTCGCCTCGTACACACCGCAAATGGATATCCTGAAATTGAGGAGTTGGCACGAGGCGTTTTCGTTTTGAGATTTGACTAAGGGGAATCAGCTCACGACGCACGGGAAGAAGAGTGCGGGTGATTCGGTTGGTAAATAACGTTCGTATGAAACGACGTACCACTTTCTGCGATAACGACACGATACGATATGGTGCGAGATTTTGCATCTCGAGAAGTTCTATAGCATAGACGCGGCATACTACTTACCTAGGTAGAGAATGAGACAAGATACTCGATATTAGATGCTGGATGCCAGATGCCAGAATATAGGTCCACGCTACTGCTCGTGTGACTTCTTACCTACCTGGGTATCTGTACCTTACCTATGTAAGGTAGAGGTATCTATCTAATTCTTGGTAATATTCGGCCTGGAATCTACGAGGGTACCTACCTTTGTTGCCTACATGTCTAACCTAGGTTAATTCTAGATATCTGCGTCTTCTATCTATCCGTACTATGCCGCATGAAGCTCAAATGCTTCGAAAACCTGGCTGTGCCGCCGAAGGTGGGCTGTTAAATACTTCCCCGCATTGAATTAGACCGTTCGAATAGGTGATCGAATCTCAAACAAAACTCTAGGTTAGGTAGGTAACTACCTAGGTATCGTATGCATTTATACTTTATAGCGCAAAAGGGAAGACTCGATGTAATGATTCGTTTCTCTTACCTGCTAAATTATATCTTTAGGATACATGTAATTAAATTCTTTGTAGGCACAACTACCTCTGGGTACCTAATTAACCGCATCGTCTACTATGAATGTCTCCTTCAGGGCGGGTAATCCAGCGGATGATGCACATCTACAGCGGTGCTGGAGGATCCAGAACTGCAAGGACTGTCTGAAGAAGGAGTCGGATTGCAGTTGGTGTCCATTCGTACGTGTGCCATTCTTTATACATAGAAAGTCCAGAGATGGCTTAGAGATTTCAGCAGGACTAAGTCTTGTCTAACGTATATACATATATACCCGTAGTTCTGGACATGCGTTCCCAACTCGAATCGGATCCAATCGCTCGCGCCGGCATGGGACGAAAATGCATGTCCGCACTGGGCTGAGAGGTGGGAAATTTGCGCTCGGCCGCTCGGCTGCCAGGTCTCGACCATCACCACGCTGACTTCGCTTGTTTCTATCGCATCAACGCTCGTCTTCGTGTTACTCGTCACATTGGTGGTGTTTGGGGTCCAGAGGCTTAGGGGATATAGTAAGAAGAACCCGGGTTGGTGGAAGATATGGCAATACAAATGGAGGCGTTGGAATGGACTTCGGCAACAGTGGCTTCGCGTGAGGATTGGAGATCAAACCAGTACGGAAGCTCGGGAATCAAGTCGCGAGCAGGAGCCATTACTACCGTCTTAAGTATGTAGGTATAGCTGGGCCACAGGGAAACAAAGTCTATGGATAATGATCTGATATCGAATTTGATCTTCACTTGCATTTCTCAGCCAGAGCTGACTGGGGGAATAATAGCGACCTCGTCACCCTCCTTGATCAGAGTTTCGGCAAATTCATCTCCAGACTCAGGGATGTCGACGTAATTAAGATTGACTGTCACCAAGCACGAACTGAGAACGTTGTCTTTGATACCACTATATTTCTCTTCTAACACATCGAACAATTTCTGTAGAGAAAGTGGTGCAGGTAATGTATCGAATTCTCTCGAGGTGAAAGAACTTGCACTTGCGAAGTAGAGGATGTTGAAATGGCCTTTCGGCGGCTTGGAAACGGCGCCCATTGCGGAATCTAATTGGGTCCAGGACGAAACATCGACTATCTTTGAGGTTCTTATTAGTTACTATATTTCCAATAGAGATTATAACAAGAAGGAGTGAATTGGGTGTTGATTCAGAGATCTTGGTGATATGGTAGAACATCAGTGATGATCAGTTAATACATGCTATTTGTATGCATCATACAACGTGAGTATAGCTTGAAAAAAGGAAATAGCTTACCATATGTCAATTGAATGGGCTAATCTTTGGTCACCCAAGTTGAGAAGCGAGGTTGAAGAAGGAAAAGGGAAAGGAAAAAGAATTGCAGTTTTTGAAGCTAGTCGTAGGAAAAAAAAAAGTTCTTAGGCGCTAGTGTTATGGATTAGTAAGCGATATAGTTAGTGTCCTGTAAATTTGGTTTTCTTCATGTGATATCTTCTGTTATCGGTACTGGTTGCGATCTTGAAGTCCCTAAGCTTAATAAGGATAAAGGATATTTAGATTGCAGAAATGAGGAATATCAATGAGGAATATCAATGAGGAATATCAATGAGGAATATCAATGAGGAATATCAATGAGGAATATCAATTCAAAGACAATCAAACAGCCGTATCACGCGAAGTGTATTGTTCGGGGTATGAATCGTGCTTTATTCGCAATGCAGAATGCCCATCATAGTCCGGCGACTCCCGTAACAAAAGGAATCTTGACCGCGAATCCTGTATGATGCTACCGATCTTCGACCGTAGTCTGATCGTAAGCTAGCAGTAAAATCCTGTCCCTCATGCTCGCAACTCCTCCCAAAGGAAATTCCATTCTTATCGTAATCGTCGGGCCTCACGTTCAGACTCGAGTAGGCAGAGAATGTCGTCCTCGCGAACTATATAGTCATCTAGTTAGTTACCGTCGAATCGCTCGGCTGCAAAAGATGGGAAATTTCGTGGGTTCGCACCTGGTCCCTTGACGTTTCGAATGATGCTTCGGGTCTGGTCGTCCATGAATTCGACACGGACTTGGGTAACACCACCGCGAGAACCTATATCCGTCAGCTCCTGCTCGTTTTAATCTACAATGTCGCATATTCCAGATTGCGAGAATGCGGTGAGAGGGATCGTACCGGTTCGGCCTAGGACGCGGGTGACCTTGACAAGCTTGACGGGCTGCTTAGAGGACTCCATATTTGCAATCTGAGTGGTTTGATTAGGGCTGAGGTATCGCAATTGGGTTCGGGAATGCTTTTCGTACTTGTGATTGAAGTTTTGCAAGGGGTTTGCTGCCTGGTCGCGGGATATGGAAATTTGTCAAAAGTTGGTAGGAATTTTGATTAGTTCAAATAGTTGTAGTCTCGCTTAAGCCGTTCTTAGTTGTGGGTAGGGCTTTTTTTCATAACGCATGGACCATGTTTGTACCTACGTGCTCTCGTTATCGATAATATCATCACTTTCTCATAAATACATATACTTTTTATCATATTTGATTCTTCTTTTAGATGCATAATAAAAGTTACCTCTACCTGTTGCATGAGCAATAGGGGACTTTTTGCCCTTTTTGACATGAGATCGTAGCATGATATTCATAAGTATATTATTGTATCCTTCTTTAATTGCCCTTCTCCCAGAAGGTTAAGGGTTTGATGCTTCGTAATAGGGTATCAGGGCCGATGTAAATCACAAGTAGATACGATAGTATCACCACTATCACGACAACCCAGCCACTTTGGCTTCTAGATCTTTTACCCACCCTTCTACCACCTTCATATTGGCCGTCATAGTCGCACCTCCTTCACCCATAACTGTTTCTATCTTCTCTAGACCTTCCCTCCACTGCTTGATGTCGGCAGCCATTTCGCTCTGCGATCTTTCGATACGCTCGAGCGTCTCATTAGCTGTCGCTGCATCGGCATGGATAGCTCTTAGTGAGCGGAGCCTGTCTAGTAGTGGAGGTAGAAGAGGCGCTAAGCTTTCGATGGTTGGTAGTGTCCCATAGAGAGCGTTTATCTTGGCTGTTTGTTCTGAATCATCTGCTTCAATTGGAGAACTACCCGAAGAGGCAAGGGAATCCTGGGCTGCCTTAGCTGCCTTCCTCGACTTCTCTAATTGCTCAGCTTCTTGAGTTAACGTCCGTACTCGGCGACTAATGCTGTCGAGGGATGAAGTAGACGCTTCCGATAACGTCAAAATCTGGTTCTGGAGCGTTTCCAGGGTAGGCATGATAGCTCGGTGTAGGCCTTTGCCTTCCAGTTCGGGCATAGTCGACGAAGTAATACCAATAGCTTTCTCGAGTAATACCAGTCGCCGATCGAAGTCGGCAGCTTTGGCGAGGGCGTGGCTCTGTTCATAACTCGGTGCGTAGGTGACGGTGTATGTTGCCTCGTCTAATGGCGACTGGGCTGATATTTGATTCTCGCCCTTCGATTGCTTGCTGGTGACCGTTGTTGGGTGATCTCTAGTCGCTATTGCTCTTTCTGGAACAGTCGAAATCTCCTCCAATGCCTGGCTTAGCGAGACAAGGTCTATATCTTGGTCTGGTATAGCCTCCGCCGACTCAGACTTCCGTTTACCATATTCTTCCTTAGCTTCCTCAATCTCGCGCTTTAGCCGTGCGATCTTTCTCTGTAGATCCTCACCTCCCTCTTCGTCACTCAAATCGCCGATCTGTTCAGTACCGTCTTCGAGAGTTCGTTGTCTTCGGCTAGAGGTCTTATATGATTTTCGCTTTCCGTTCAGCCGATCAGAGAAATCCACGTCTCGAGCGTCAACCTGTGCAGGTAAGAATCGAGACCGAGCTTGGTCTATTCGGAGTCGCGAATGCGAGATTTCGTGGATATCGTCGTCATCATCTTCGTCGAATTCGTTGTCCGACTGCGACCGACCTGCAGTAGTCTGAGGGAGGCGTTTAGAATGATATGCGCTCTACCAGGAGTATCAATATATCCTTACAGGAACAGTAGAATTGTCGTCCGTCAACTCGGGAGTCTCATAAATGTCAGGCGCAGAGTCCTAGATGTTGGTTAGTACAATGCATAGGCAAATCTCAAGTGCTTGAACATACTAGATCTGGCAATGCGGCATATTTTCGATTTAATGCCATATTGAAGGTTGGGATTTTTCGCGGATCCCAAGCGGCCGTTTCCTAGCTGGTTGTTAAGGAGAGCTATACTTCGTAGAAGTTCAAACACGAACAATGAAAGCCAATGTGAACGAAGGTTACAGGTACCTAGGTACATGTATTAGGATGAGGGTACCTTAGGTACCCATAAATACATGAACTCAGGGCTCTTAGAGGTCCATATAGGTAGGTAGGTATGTACCTTCCGAAAGACATGTGGCTGGATTTGTGGCTTATTACCATAAAGGTAAGGTTCCATCCATCCTGCCCTCCATCCTGCCCTCCAACGCGTCTTGCAACGCGTCGTTCTTGCACTATGTACTTTGAGGTACATACCTACCTAACCATCACCAAAATTGCTATGGCCCGGGTAACGTCTCCAGCTCATGCTAATCAATTAAAATGTCAATCTATTAAAACACGCATGACGCATAGAGATATAGAAGTACCCGTGGCAGGTACCTAACCATCAGTGCGTTTATTCCATGTATTCCTCATGATTAACTATCTTGTTTCCTTAGTTACTAACATCCTATTTGCCTCATTAAAGCACCTGCAAAGCACCTGCAAAGCACCTGCAATTCCTTAGGCATCTAATGCATGGGGCACATGAAGCACAAATCCTTTTTGGCTGTGCTTTTCTCACCCTACTAAGTAAGACTCTTCATTTAAGTCTACCCTCAATTATTGCCTCAGCGATCGTATGGGTAAATGCTTCCTGGCGTGGGACAATCTGTCATCTTATATTTTGTTTGTGCTTGGTATATCCGCACACTGCTTGATTCTGGCGATAAAAGATAAAAGTCAAAGAAGCTTCAATGCCGATTATTATACCAACACGGCGTGTGGGACTAAGCTCCACCCAGAACCCTCCTCGTCTTTTGAGGACAATTGGAAATCAAGAAACCAGACCTCCTAGATCTGAATCTAACAATGTCAGAAGCAAAATACCCGCCTCAACCATGAATAGGCTTGGGAAGAATCGAGAACCAGAATCCATTACTGCACCGCCTCAGAGTAGTGATGAAGAGGAGGAGGATTATCGACAACAACGCCGAAGCGCTCACAATAGCTTGCAAGACTCTGATTCTGACAACAATGACAGTCGATATAAAGATATAAAACCTACAATTTTCAGTAGCTCGCAAAAGGGTGGACCTTCTAGCTCGGCTAGTTCAAAGAGATCATCTCAAGATATTGCCCCAAAGGCGGGCAATCACCTCATGAATGAGTTTGGCTTCACGAGAAACGGGAATGGGAATAATAAGCCAACTATCGCCAGGCGTGCCGCAACCTATGGCAGTAGACTATCTCAGCCTAGACCTTCACAAGGGAGAGCATCACAAAAATCCGCACCTAAATCTTCAGCATCACAACCTGAGAGTCAGTCTATGCACCTTGCTCGCCGTAGCTATTACTAACGAAAGGTTTTCTTAAACTACTAGATGACTCCGGTAACTCATTTAGGCGGTTTAAAATTAGTCCAAGTCCCGAAGGTATTCGGTCACCTCCAAAGAAGCGGTTTGTAAAGCCTGAGAGTATCAGCCCAGAGAAGACGAAGCCCTCTAAAGCTTTCGTCAAACCTTCATTCTTGTCAGATTCTAGTCCAAGTCGAGACACCAAGAAACCCATATTTAGACGTAGCAGTTTATCGTCAGATGAATCGCTATCGCAGAGCAAATCCAAAAAGCTCGGTCTAGAAGAATCAAATGCAGCAGTAGAATCAAATGCAGCAGTAGAAGCAAAGCCAACTTTGCCGCCTGGTAGGATAAAAAAGTCGACGAAACCTAAAAATAAAAAACGAAAAACCCTCCATGAACCTGCGGTAGATGAGTTCTCTCAGAGACCAGCTTTTAAGCTGCACGCTTTAGATGATCTTGACGACCTAGACGACAGCGATGATATGGTCTTTGACGCGTTTGAGAGTAAAAGCTCTGATGACGAAGCAGGCGATATCAGTATACAAAGCCCACTGGCTACCACGGCAAGGTGTCCTATGTGCCGTGAAGTAGTCGACGCCGAGCTTCTAGCGAAGCATTCAGATCACGGCAGAATGAACATAAAGAAACAGGCAGCATTCTGCAGATTACACAAGCGGCGGACAGCGTTGGATTCTGGAACTCGGAAAGGATATCCCAAAATTAATTGGGAAAGGCTCAATACACGATTAGACATGTATCAAGGTTTATTGAAAGAAATCTTGGAAGGTAGTCGACACTCACACTATCACGAAGTATTACGAGAGAATGTCGAAGCCGGAAAGAATCGAACGTTACTCAAGACCGATGACAGCCTTACACCAGGCTACTATGGGCCGCGTGGACTCCGCGTTATGACAGAGTATATATTGCGGACTTTATCGTCAGTTATTCGAAAGCGTGCAGTTGAAGACAGACTCGTTTCCGCCAGAGGTTATACAGGATATGTCCAGGCAGTGTTAGTGCCTGAATTAGCAGTCCACTTGATCATGGAGGACATGGGCATTGCGGAGGAAAAGGCGCGGGATATCATGCTGGAAAGTATCGATGTCGGAGAGCTCTTACATGAAGACTCCGGTGACGTTATTGCCGGTGTTAGTGATGAAGAGGAAATATAATAGTAGGACCCCAAAAAGGAACTGGAAAACCTACGTTGAGAAGAGATAGTTACAGTACGATAAATAAGCATATGCGTTCATCTAAATGTAGACGCTTGGGGCTGTCACATTGCAGCCCGATCTTCTGTCTATCAAAAGCTCTGATTGGGCTGATGTTATTATGTGCATTAGCTCTTTAGACACTACATGTTAGCATATGTAGATCGTGCAGCAAATGCTAAAGAAACCATTCTGTCGTTTGTCAATTTTAATTGTATAGATCGGTATCTTGGTGTCCCAAAGTCAAGTACACTTTCAACAACTTATCTTTTCAGAGCGATAGTCTATAGCTTTAGACGCCCCTTAACTCCTTAAGTATGGATCGTCTTAGAATAGAATAGAATAGAATATTAGAATAGGCACGTATTGGTGTTAAGCGCATAGTATGTCTATAAATCTAGTTAGATGATACTATAGCATTCTAAGCAACTTTACCAACCAGTTGTTATTATAGTAGATCAAGTAGGTCGAAGTGATAATATACAAGACTGATCAAATACATAGGTACGCATTGAAGCTAGTAGAGGGGTTTGGCCAGATCAAGTACATACATGCATGCATGTGCGAACGCGGGAACTTGCGGCAGCATACGACATGCAGGCTGTCGGTCCGGCTTGATTGTTGTACATATGTACGCAACATTATTGCCTACCAAGTAACCTATCAACAGATACACGTTGATACACGTTGACTCAAGCATTGCTTGTGACTTGATAAGCCTCCTGCGAGTTGGTCCGGGTCGTGGGGGAGATGCCGGACCAGTCCCTGGGGGCGGTGCCCCATGGAAGACAGAGCACAATGACGAATCCAATTTCCTTTCTCCCATCTTGGATTATGGCGTGGAGTGCCAAGTCGACTTTTCATCCTGAACCTGAACACTATCCTAGGTTAAACACTTGACTTGATATACCTATGATCTATCAGAACGGAAATATTGAACTACTGATATTGGCGTGGAAATATTACGGTACTCGATGAAGTAAGCATCTTCATCCGATATTTGACTGCATCTGGCGCCTATTACACTACTTACATACTTACAAGGATTCAGGGATTTTAGAACGGCGCTATGTAAAGCTTCGTCTGGGGGTCCCGACATCTGCGGAGTTGAACTAACCTGGTTTTGTGGATATTGGCAGATGGCGCAGAGATCATATAATAGTCAAAGCCATTTCAACCCGCATTTTTGGCTTTTCACCGACCATGGGATAGGGCAGTAAGACGTAGCGGTACTTTCTGCGGTGGTGTAACTTGATATACTACAGTACTTCTGTTAAGGTGGAGATCTTATTTGCAAGTATATATTTAATATTTAACATTGATACCGTAAATATAAATAAGCAATGAGCCTCATACATATCTCGAGTTAGGGGTCTCTTTGCCCGAGTCATAGGTACTTATATCATAAAGGTAATGAAATATGATCATCGTAGCCTGATCTATGGAAGAGCGGTAACACTAGGGCATGACTTTGCTGCCAAGTCGAAAATAAATCGGTCCGGAAACAGGTTTATCTGATTTGTTGACATATATATTTTATATAGAGAGGTAGGTTAGAGGCGAATTATGTAGACCTGCTTATATACCTATGTATGGTGAGATTCGGTATCCATAAGTGGTATTAAGTTTTCAACGCAGGCTTACTTCGAATGTACATGTATGTATGTAAAATGGTGTGATCGGGGGCTAACTAATAAACGTTGGGCATATTTACAAATTCTTGGACATCATAGGCTCAATTACGCAATGTATATATTTTAGATGAACTTGTTTACAGCTTGGTGAGGTTGACTTAGTTAAATATATTTTAATAGATGGAATTTTAGTATTTATTGTATGCATACCTCTTAGGTTAGGTACTTACAATGGTGATAGATCGTATTAAGTACCTAACATCCAAATATTCAACATTGAACTATTAAAGTCCTACGTGACTAGCGCAATCATTATCATGGAATCCATGACTTCGTTAAATGTACCTAAGTTTTAATTTCAATATTGCTTTACGTGGTAGTCAGGCGTCCTTGAATCAAAGCCATTTAACAATAAGATTTAGTTAACAATAATGATACTAATAAGACAACTAAGACGACTATTGAGGTTTGAATATGCGCGACGAGCACGGATTAGGAACTGGCAACATATGTTGAGCCTAGGAATTCTTTACCAAAAAAAGATCTTACCCCACTGATTTAATCGATAGGCTTTTCTTGAGCGGATCTTGAGCGGGCAGCGGGCAGCGGGCGAGACGTTCAGTGGTTCAGATGCCCGCTGTTGCACTGCACGTACCACCCGAACCTACCTCTTTTAGTTCAATTCTGACACTGACAACTTAGCAGTAGCAGTACCGCAAGCCGTAGGTAGTGTATTACCTATAGAGCAATTAGTACCCTGGTTGTTCTCCCCACTTGTAAGTTGCAGCAAAGTTGCAGCAGCACCTGCCCTGCCTTCAACTTCGCCCTGCTTTGCAAGACCTTGTTGCATTCAGTCTGCATTCAGTCTGCGTTTAGTCTGCGTCTGCTAAAACCAAACCCTTTTCAGCCCTCAATCTTGGCTCTGGGCTTTACCGCATTCTTCGTCTCCAGTAACCCGCCTCTACTTTGCCTGTCCGCCTATCTCTTACCAAGATCCTTCTTCTTGAATATCAACCAGCTTTTTCTAGCGCACTTGGAGACGCTGCGCTTCTCCGTGCATTCTGGATTGCCATCTCCATATAGATACGAATATAGTTACATACATTCATACGTTCATACGTTCATACATTCATACATTCATACATACATGCCCACCTAGCTTCACGATACAGAGCCGACTTAAACCTCATAACTCTATAGAGGGAAATGTTCTGCTCTACCCCTCTTTGATGGCGCCGTCCTATTAATAAAAAGCTGCGAGGACCAGCGCGAGAGCGACAATGACAATGACGCGAGATGACGGCCGTATCACCTCCTTCGCGAGTTCCAGCAGTGGCCACTCAAATATCACGTTGAAGCCATCCGTTCCTAGTCGCTCAGTCTCGGTCTCTTCAGCCTCGACCAAAACTACGCCGAAACCCATCAAGACGAGCGAATATGGCAAAATCAGGTACGTCATGACTGGCTTCTTTCTTCGCTATACCGATTGGGTCCAGTGAATCATGTGCGGAGCCATCGGCCTTGCTACATTTCATCCGAAGCCTATCTCGAGTGTCCCTGCTTAGGATAAATTAAGTGCCGAGGAACAAGTCAACTGTTGTCTCTGTAGCGAAATAGTCTCTTTGTCTACAACTATGTCATTAACAGCAAAGTTTCTGAAAAGCTAACTGTATATGCGTTTCAAACATTATATAGACCGTATGCTGAAGACTCTCAAGTCTCACCGACAACTTCCGGCCATCGCCTTGCTTTATCACCGACTTCGACCGCATCTAGCAGTTCACTACTCGATAGTCGACGCATGAGCGACCTTGCCGACTACCGTCGCGACCTTGCCGTTCTTAACCCAGCTAATGGTCGTATTCCCCAAATCCAACGAGATCCTCCAACCAGTCCGAATTCCCAGCATAATATAACGCCTTGGATGTCTGTCAACGGTGGGGCGGCTACGTCTCCGACTGGTTTCGGGACGAGCTTCTACAATGATTCGAGCGACAATGTATCCACTACCTCTCAACTTTCCCCAGCTTTTAGATTAGGCCCTTCGCGACCTGCTCAGGCATCAAGCAACGAATCCCCCGATGCGGCGTACTTCACGGACGATAGGCGACCTTCAGCGGCTAGTATAACAACAGCAAGTAGTCAAGGCTCTAAAAACAGTGGTAGTAGAGGGGGGCTTAAGAAACTACAGGGGTTCTTCGGAGAGGATTTTCCAGGTCGCGATTCATCCGAAACTAGCCTGCCGGCACCACCTCTGCACTCTCAAAATCAGAAAGATCAGCGTTCCTACTCTTTCAACCGACCGCGTCGTGGGAGGAACGACTCGAACGCTACCGATCATACTAGAGAGTTTTCACCCTCTTCCTCACGACCGCGTACGCCGGTACCTTCAAGCGATGTAGTCCCATTTTTATACCAAGAGGCCAATGACATTGCTAAATACGGTGAAGCTCCGGTTCGTGATATACTGACCGGTCCAGACAGGGAGCGCTACACGGGGGAAAGTTCTACACAGATACCACCGAAAACTTCGTCGTCCTCTCGCTCTGGACACTCGATTGTCCATTTGTCTAGTCATCACCGTCACCACAAGAGCAACGACGACTCCAATACATTGCGCCCGGTTGACAGTCGCGAAGACTCGGCTCTAAACATTCAAAATATGAAAGAAAGGGGCGGCTCTGCAGTGACTGCGCCGCGGTCGCGGGCCCAAAGTCCCACACCAAGCAGCAATAGCAATGGCAGTAGACTCGCATCTATTGATGGCCAAACATCCCCCGGGGCTCCTGGAAAACGAGGTATCTTTGATCGGCTACGACGACACAAGCACAAGGACGATAGCCAAGCATCACGTTTAAGAAGCATGCCCGGCTCTTCTCGCTCGCTCGCGCCATCGTTGTCCCGGCAAGATTTATCAAAAGGGAATCAATCGCCTTATGACAAAGCTCCCCTTGCTGTGGAAACTACAACCCCTCCGGCTCGCCCATCTAACCCTCGACAAGCGACCTTCAATAATAAATTCCCCTTCTCGAAGAAGGGGCGTCCGCATAAGATCTATGACGATCCCGATGAACACATCGGCCCAACTGATAGGAATGACAAGGGCAATGTGTTCGTCCTTGATACAAATCTGAGCGACATGGAGGGCATATTGGCACAACCTCCGCCTTTGACACCTATGGAGCCTTTGTTCTTACCGACGGATACCGAGCCTTTGGAACCAGTCCAATCCAAAGGAACTGGGGCATGGAACGCGCCAGACAGCTGGGCTGTCCGTCGTACTGAAGAGGAAAAAGAGACTCATGTCCCTGAAGTTGAGGAAGTTGGGGCTCCACCAAAACCTGAGGAGAAGCAGAATCCTCACTGCATACGGGTATTCCGCGCCGATGGCACTTTTGCTACCGTACAGATGCCACTGAA